GTGGACATGACAGGTTGCAATTCCTCTCCCCCCCCCCCCACCTCTCTCTCTCTCTCTCTCTCTCTCTCTCTCTCTCTCTCTCTCTCTCTCTCTCTCTCTCTCTCTCTCTCTCTCTCTCTCTCTCTCTTGGACAAAGACAAGGAGAAAGGTGTGTTATAGGTGTGTTATATCCCAGGCTACTTTATAATGGCATTTTGCTGTAGCATTTTCGATTTTGCTACTGTACTTCCTTTTGTTTGTTCAGGTGACTCCGTTGGAGATAGACATTCTCTTTGAGCTGTGCAATCTGAATGAGCAGACAGGGTAAGTAATGGCTTGCATGCCCTTACTTGAAAGACATGACAACTTGAAAAGCGATATCAATGTTTATATGGGATCAACTAACTTATCGGGCAGTATTTGTACTTACTGTCAGACATGTAAATATAGCGAGGAAGTTACATTTCTTCATATTAAATAATTATAATAATAAGTTCTGTTGATGCCGTAAATCCTCACATGTGTTATGTGCAGGTATTCCTGAAGACTGCAAGATCGTTAACATGTCTTCTCGCTAATCTATGGATTCTTTTGGACAATCGTTTAGTTTGCGACTCGTTAATATAATAACAAGTCGTGCAGTACCCACCGGCGTCGCTACTGTGTCTGATGTCGTCACACTTGATGTGTGTGTGTGTGTTTCTCTCCTTTGCCTGATTAGACGGGTCCACCGTGATGACTTACGGAAGCTGATGCCACGACTTCCCCCGTCTCGCTTGTCTGCAAGCGCTGGTGAGGCACAGGCTTCGCAGGTAAGCACCAGGGTTTGTTGCTTTTGGGGCCACTTTTGAATCCTACAATCTGCCTTGATCGCGCGTGTGTGTGTGTGTGTATCATTTTCAAGTCCACCCAGAGTTTTGGGGATTTCAGGGGGTGTCGGCCGTTAGGCGGTTCAATAGCCAATGGAGTCATCTTTCCCCGATTCCTTTTGAGTCTCTCTCCCCTCTCCCGGGAAGACCCACGTGACCAGTTTTGGCAGTGAGAAACAAGTACAAGTGTGTGTGTGTGAGTGAGTCTTGTCTGTCTGTCTGTCTGTCTGTCTGTCTTGCAACAGTGTATGCCCGGACCACAAAACAGGAGACTGTTTGATACTGATATGTTTTAAATTTTAATGTTTCTACTATTATCTTTTTCAGATTGATAAGTCTGTCTGTTTTATTTGTCTGTCTGTCCAACTGTATATATGTGTAGTGTGCTTTGTGGGGAGGGAACAGCAGGCTATGGTGGTTCTGGTGCTATTCTTGTTTATTGCAATGGTCAGGATCCGTACGAGTACAAGGAAATCAGCGTAGGCATGCAGGTGCTGGAGAGTGTCTACCGTTTTATGCTTGGTGGCATTGCTGGTGGTAAGCTGCTGCTGCTGATACTGATGATGCTGCTGTTGCTGCTGCTGCTGCTGCTGATACTGATGATGCTGCTGATGCTGCTGATGTTCCTGCTGCTGCTGCTGCTGCTGCTGATACTGATGCTGCTACTGATGTTGCTGCTGCTGATACTGCTGCTGCTGCTGATGCTGCTGCTGATACCGATGCTGCTGCTGCTGCTAATACTGATGCTGCTGCTGCTGATACTGATGCTGCTGGTGCTACAGCTGCTTTAGGGCACTTGTGGCCCTCTAGTCTAGGCAATGTTGCTCCATATACAAATGGCCCAATGCTCGGCGTAGCACGGCTGTTTTTTTGATTTTCAGGTGTTGCTGCAAGCTGTTACCGCCATGAAGTGTCATACTCGATCGAACAGTCTGGGTCGGGCATGACATTCAATCACATCAACTCCAGTGTGTCATACCGTATCTGTGCTATTGTTGTAAGTTTCTTTGCTGAGGTTGCTGAGCATCTTCCTCCTCCTTTACTTTTTGTAATGCAGCTATGGGAGCCACAGCAGTTTACCCGATTGACTTGGTGAAGACACGTATGCAGAACCAGCGCTCGACCGGTATGGTCGGTGAACTCATGTATAAGAACAGCATTGACTGCTTCTTGAAGGTGATACGCAACGAAGGGCCGCTGGGTCTCTACAGAGGTGAGTTTGTGTGTGTGTGTGTGTGTGTTAAGGTGTGTTCAGGTGTGTTCGGGTGTGTTCGGGTGCGTGCAATGCCTCTACTACTGTCGTGCACATGGAACTCCCTTCGATCGTCAAGCGGCCCAGGGCGCTGGCCATGCAGGTAGAAGTCTGCCGAGTGAGTGTACTGGAGATTCTGGAATGTATGGCTATTTTAGTTTCCCAGCTCCTATATGTTTCTTGCTCTCTTTCTTTGTCATTTGATCAAAGGTCTGTTGCCTCAACTGGTTGGCGTAGCACCGGAGAAAGCCATCAAATTAACTGTGAGTATCTGTACCTAATAAGAAATCAGGTGCACATTGCAGTGCATGCATTGGAGTGCACTCTGTGAACTGCAACAATGCATTTTGCTTGTAGATTTAGTAAGGGCAATCACTCTCTTAGCTTTTCCGATAATTTGCTGAAGTACAAGGGTGCTGCGAGTGTTGGTGTACGTCTCTTGTTTGGGGTTAGGAAGCTTCTGTGGTCATATACTTTGATGTATGTACGTGTGATGTTGTTGAATCAGCACTCTGCCGCGGAACTCTGTTACAGTATGATGATGTTGTATTCTACGTATCCTTGATGGAGTAGTTACAGTCCATTTCAAAAAGATTTAGCAATTCTGGCGATCGCCCGGGGAGTTTGCCGTCTTGCCGTATGCGCGCTCGAGAGCTGGCTGGAAAAACTCACTGTGAACTCGAAGAAATAGTCCGCGCGAAAGCATGAACAATGACAACTCACTCACGTCGGTACATGTACGTCTGGTTTACAACAAACGAGTTCTTCCTCGTATCAAGAGTCCATAACCCCCATATAATTATGTTATGGACTCTTGCTCGTATCGATATGGAGTCAGAGAAGACATGTCGAAAGTGTGGTAAATGTTGACGAGCGGGATGGGTCCCAATTCGTTTCGTGCCCAATTTCTTTGAGCTGCGATGGAATTATTTTACTCTCACAATGTGACGAAAACGACATCGACACAGACTCATTCCCAAGGCCATGACTTGGCGAAGCTATCCGTGTGACTTCGACGACATTTTGAGAAAAGAAGACGCCTGTGAAAGCTGATAGAAGACGGCGATGACTCCTAAATTCAAATAAATTGGCGATCTTGAACTACTAAAATATTTCTCAAAAAAGAAATCGATCGATGTGCCGTTGTATGCAACAACACGTAGCTACAGCGCAATGACTTCCGTGTTCACTCACACCGTTTCAGTGTTGTGGGTGTGTTCACATGGCGTGAACCAGTCAAGTGTCAGTAAGTTCGGCAGGAAACGCGAGCTCCAACAACAATACAAGTCGCAGCCACCTTCTTTGGCTTGTACTTTTTGTAGATCTACCAGCGTGATCACCAAAACAATGAAAACAAAAGTTTGACTTGAAGATAGTTTGGGATTTGAACTCACAACTTCATGGTCAGCAGACAGCATTCATAACCACCAGCGTTGTAACAAAATAAAAAATAAAAAATTCATAACCACAAGGCCAAAAAGGAAAGGATAAATTGTGGGTTTTGATAAAAATCGATACTGGCTTCCAGGGCAAATTGTAAACCATGGGAAAAGGCCGGAAACCTGGCCGAAATTCTAACTCCTTAACGGCTGGTCCAATTGTTCCGAAACCTTCACAGAACAATTTGCCGTGTCCTAACAAGCCATTCTATGTACTTTGTTGTCCAAATTTCACTTATCTTCATACTTCCTAAGACCAAAGCCTGATTGTAAATCTTTTTGAAATGGACTGTAGAGCCTTGTGTGTTTGTGTGACTATCATGAGGTTGTGACAGTACGACTGATCATCTGACCTGCTTGCCTGTACTGACTGTCTGGATGTCACCGTCTTTCTGGCTATGCTCTGACAACCTGCACATGGCCTTGAGTTTTTTCTGCGCTCTGTTTGCTTTTCTGCCGTTTGCCAGGTCAACGATTTGATGCGCGGCAAAATGACAAGAAAGGACGGCAGCATTCCGTTTTGGGGGGAGATGCTTTCCGGCGGATGTGTGAGTTTTGTTATCCTACCATCTGGCTTTTTTTCTTGTTGGCGAGGAAAACTTGATAATTAACTCCTTGTTCATACGCTTTCTGTTGTTTTCTGTTGCTCAGGGAGGCGGCTGCCAGGTAATGTTCACGAATCCACTGGAAATTGTCAAAATCCGCTTGCAAGTACAGGGAGAAGTGAAGGACGGCAGGCGAGTGGGCGCAGCTAAAATAATCCGCGAGCTTGGCTTCCGCGGTCTCTACAAGGTACGTGCCACGGCCATGAGTTAGAGGCAATTGGTCTAGTGGGATTACTGTAAAACCGGAAAGTTTAACGACCAAAAAGTGTAACGTTTTTGTAATTTTGGTATGATAACGTGCAGAAAGTTTAACGATGGCTACCTGGCCACCCATCTGTATGCGCATCTTTACACAGACATCTCAAACTGGGTTCGCGATAACGTTTCTTCAAATAACGAAAAAATTGGTTGTTAAAACGTTAGACTTTCCGGTTTTACAGTAGACCATTGGTCCATTGGTGTCTAATTGAGATTACGTCATTGGTTTGCCATGTTGTTCGGTGATTTCACACATTGCTGTCACCTCTTCTGCACATAAGTGGTCCTTGATACTCTTTGTATAGGCCGTGCTTATGCTGGTTTTCTGTCGTGCTGGTGCTGGTGGTATGTGATGAATTTGCAGCTACAGTAAAACCTGTGACTACCGACCACCCCTTGGTGCCAGCAAAAGCGGTCTTTAGTGGCAGGTGGTCTTTAGTTAGAGGTTTGCACCGTGCGACCATATATGGATCACATTCTATGATTATGTATATCAAAATGCAGCTCAGTCTTCGTTTCTCCTCTGAGTAGTAAGATCGAGCAGAGAGCGCTTTCGATGCGCTCTCCAAGACCTTTCCTATCATGTTTATTCTTGACAGCGCTTGAAATTCTGACAGGTGTCGTGCAGTCCACACAGACTCCACAGTCAAAATGGCCTGCGTTCATTTGTTCAGCTGTAGTACCGAAAGATTCCTATCAGGACCATGGAAAATCAGCAAAATTTCAAGAAGGAGCTTTGAGCAACATTTAATTTCCTACATCGCGGTCGCTAGTTTCGGGTCAAAAATCGTCTTTGGGACAAGAAAAGGCGGTCGCTGGTCGCGTTCAGCAGGTAGTCGCTAGTCACAGTGCATTTTGAATGTGAGACGTCCGTGCCTGGCCAAGTGGTCGGTAGTACCAGGCTGGTCGCTAGTCACGGTGGTCGCTAGTTACAGGTTTACTGTACATGTGTTTGCTTCACAGAGTGTCTGCGTTTGAATCTCTCTGGGGGTCGCTCTGATATTTGTTTCCGTGCAGGGAGCGTCAGCGTGCTTCATGCGTGACATTCCGTTCTCCGCCATCTACTTCCCGACGTACGCGCACATGAAGTCGTACCTGGGTGGCGACGAGCCCAAGAAGGTTCACTTCATGATTGCTGGCTTCATTGCTGGTCAGTTTGTGTATGTGTGTGTGGGGGGGGGGGGGGGGGGGTAGCTGTGGCACTTAGGATGTAGTGCTGAGAAATGTAGCGTACACATATGAATTGCAGTTCCCATTCACCTGTGTGCAGTGTAGCGAGCTTGAGTACCGGTAGATATGCGTGTGGCACTCTATTAAAGATGCAAGATACACGTACAGTAGAACGCCGATTATCCAGACGTCAACTATCCGAATGTTCGATTATCTGGATCGCCTGGTCAGGCTGGACAAAAAAAATAGCAGCTTCTTCGAGGTTTTTGCTGATTTTCCCCACTCGGAGCACCATTCGAGCGATGCACAAGATGTATTACAACAGGTTGGAGTCAAAATGTATAACGATGGTGTCATTTTGAGGAGCTGGAGTGCGCCTAGTTCCTGTTGTACTACCAAAGAGAAAGAAAAATGATGAAAACATGCAGGGAATATGCATGCTTTTATATATGGAATGCATCAGCTTGAGTAGACTGAGGAAGATTATGCCTCAAAGCACCACTTATATACATTGTAGTGCTCTCCAGGCCAAATCACCACCAGAGATACAAACTCAGGCGCTCATTTCCAGCGCGACAAACACCTCGTGAGGCCCCAGGTAGCAGCGTGAGTCAAAGTCGCTCATGGAGTTGTGCTAAACAGACGCTGAGAGCCAGTAGCTATTCACACCGCTGTCACCTCCAACAAGTAGTCGCACGTCTGTGTGAGGGACTACAATACAAACAGTCAAGTGTCAAATTCGGCAGGAAGCGTGTGTACTGAAGAATTTTTTATTCTTCAGTACACACAATAGAAGAAAGTTTATTTCGAAAAAGGAAACATTGTGATGGCTAGCAACGCGAAATGACTTTTTCTTGAAGTTCGTTGAATTATAGTACTGTACCTTATATGTAGCTTTGTAGTCTCACACAGGGGGCTGTAAATTTACTACTCCCAACTGTCAAGTGCATACCGAGGAAAGAGAAAATTAACTTTCACAAACCACTGCAACTTCGCGTCCAAGTTTTCGAAGTTTCGACCTTTGTTTCTGTACTCATTCCCAGACTCGAATTTTCTTTAAAACTGTCGGTCCCTTTAATAATACTTTCTTTTCCTTTAATGGTAAGCAGTTATTTCCTTGTTCTTTTTGTCATGATCTAGGTGTGCCTGCTGCGGGTCTACTCACCCCTGCTGATGTCATCAAAACAAGATTACAAGTAAGCATGTGCGGTCGTATCTTTCCCTTCTCTTTGTCTGCTCCATGGTGCATTTTGCAGAACATAGACATGTCACCTTGCTGATAATCCAGAAAAACTGAGTATCAATGTTTTTAAAACTGTTCTCTCTTTCTCTCTCTCTCTCTCTCACTCTCTCTCTCTCTCTCTCTCTCTCTCTCTCTCTCTCTCCTTCTCTTTCTCCCCTTTTCTTCCGCTACACATAAAATTGGAGGCTTTGCTGCTTCTAGAATTTGTTTGGTGGCCCAGATCCTTACCTTGCACGTAGCATTTTCCATTTATTTTGGCAATAAGCTGTTTCCTGGATCAGGTTTCTTCAGGTTTTTGAATTATTCCGAATTTCTGTCTTGACCCGTGTTGTACGGGGATTGGTGGATGTTCATGTACATAAAGCTGACTTGAACCTGTTTGAGAGAGTCTGAGTGTATGGGCAGCTGACTTCTTGCTGGTACGGCTCACACTGGAGTTTGGTCGTGTGATGTACATCCACTCCTGCTGCACTGCACCGTACACTTGTTGTTTAGTGCTGTATGGAGATTAGCCTAGGTGAGATGTGCGGCATGAGTGTTCTTGTTGTTGAGGCGGTAGCTGTGAGTCATTAGGGACGTTTAGCGACGCGAAACTTTGGAAGAAAATTCGAGTCTGGGAATGAGTACAGAAACAAAGCTCGGAACTTCGAAAACTTGGACGCTAAGTTGCAGCGATTTGCGAAAGTAACTTTCTCTTTCCTTGGTACGCATTTGACGACAGGGAGTAGTAAATGTACTACAGTCAGACCTCGCTTAACCGCACACATCTGTTTTCCACAAAAATATCCGGATAGGCGAGGGAACCGGATAACTGAACACACATACTGTATATGCATGTGGCATGTCATAAGCAGTGACATCGTACATACATGTAGACGGGTCCTATGCAGTACAACTAGTGTGCACAGTATGTAAAACGAGCGAGAAAAATGACAAGTGCATGCAACTAAGTGCTGTCCACATGCACCCAGCAGGTCAAGGACCTCATTTGCCTGTACAACGCCCTGATTCTAGCTTCTGGAAGCCACATGCAACCGGATACGACGAAGCTTTTTGTACATATTTTAACCAGTTTGTACACAAAATCATGCTCCGGTATGCGGATCGCGAGGTCCGGTTATGTTGTATGCATAACATATGCTGCACATCGGTAACCAGCGATTTTCTTCCGGATGGCGAGGGATCCGGATAAACGAGGACCGGATAAGCGAGGTCTGACTGTATACAGCCCCCTGCTTGTGACTGAACTGCATATACAATACGGTACTGTAAGATTCAAGTAACTTCGAGAAAAAGTCGCTTCGCATTGCTAAACCTCACAAGGTTTTCTTTTTTGAAATAGATTTTCGCGAAATATCACCGCCACCAAAAGTTCGAATTTTCGCATTGCTAAACATGCCTATTGTCTGGTATTGATCTATTCCTGTGCGACTTTTCCAGGTCAAAGCACGTGAAGGGCAGCGGACATACAACGGCCTTTTTGACTGCATGAGAAAGATCTATGCGGATGAGGGAGGCCGTGCATTTTGGAAGGGTGCAGGAGGTATGTGTGGTCTTCTTCAATGTTTCTGTGCTGCGTGCGCTGCCATTGCTGGCTGTAGAGCAGTATAATTGTTATGCTGCTATCAGGGACTGCATACTTCTACATAGCATTGGCGTCAAGCCACTTACATGTATGTGAGCAGTTTGCTGTGGAGAGCTCTCTTCCTCTTCTGTGCTTGTACATATGTGTGACTGTCTCGACAGTGGTGTTGTTACGTTCATCTTGCTCAGTGCCCTTGACGTATGTACCTTTCTGTCTTCTCTCTAGCGCGTATCTGCCGATCCTCACCTCAGTTTGCCGTAACCCTGTTCACGTACGAGTTCCTCCAGAGCGTGTTCGACGTCGACTTTGGCCGCGCAAAGTGAGTTTGCCTGCTGCTGCGTTGTGCCATGTAATGAGCTCCCAGAGTGTCTATGTACACTGTATGTACTTCGAAGTACTCTCATCAGAATTTCAGTCCTGTAAACATAGGTTTTGTAAGGGGGGGGGGGGGGAGAGAGATCTTCAGCGATTCCCAAATTTGTGTTGAACGTTTTTAGCAGAACAGTACATGTCATGCACAGTGAGTGCTGATCCGAGGAATGCAAATTCTCATTTAGTGAGGCTGACGTTTTTTTTAAATGAGTACGCAAGAACTTGTTAAATTCACCCTCTTTACAGTAACTTAGTTTAGTACTGAAAATTGCTCATCGCGGAAAACAAAACAAAACTTGAAAATAGTGACCCAGGGTTGCACTTAGAGTGTGAATCTGATTCAACACATTCTCTTGTCCGTGCCACTTTGCAGGAAACCGTCTCACAACAAGGCATCTCCCCTGCCTCCCCTTCAGCACAGTGACTTTGTCGGCGGCCTCCAACACGCAAACACCACCTTTGCCGGCGTGGAGCGCCACTTTGGCCTGGTCCTTCCCAGGTTTGCTCCCAGGACAGAAGCACAGCAGCAGCAAGCACGTTGACACGCCGCCTGTACGTGCCCTGGTTCACTCCTCCACTCGCTCCTTCAGCAGGGTATTGTGCGTTCACACTGAGCTGTATGGCCACATACCACTGCTTCACCCCCTTTCCCGTCCACCGGAACGGTAAACCTAACTAGCTACATTGGTAGCTACTCCGTGTACAGCATAGAATACACAAACTCTGAAATCCGACGTCTGCCGCCGAATCAAGCATAGTATCATATCCAAGAACTCCTCACACCTAGATGCATCTCGTCATTTTGAATACGGTATGTACAAACCATGAAAAATCATGAAATTTTCCTTTTCTTTTTTGGAAACATCTTCAATTTACCCTTCACGAAACACATGCTTTGTGCTGTACACATGCTTTGCGCTGTGTGCTAGTTATTAGGACGTGTTTAGCCTATCTCTTTGCTTTCCATGTTGAGTCCCCTGCCTCGACCTGCTCGCCTATCTACCTTTCTTGCAACTTTTCCCCTTCGCCTAGTTTTTAATTTATTGTATTTGATATGGCCGGCTCGGAATTTCTGGACCTTTATTTTGTTCTTTTCAACTTTTTTTAACGCATTTATATGGTAATAGGGCGGTTTTGGTCAATGGCATTCCAGTCTAACCAGCCCTGTTTGTATTTGTGTGAAGCTGTGTTTCTGTTTGAACATAAAGCAAATAGAATCGTCAATCACCGCTGATTATATATTGTCCATGGCAACGTTTGTCAGGAAGGACACATACTAATTTGCTCAACGCGTCCCGTGAAGTTGTCCCCGACGACGACAAAGACTTCGGTCCTCTTCTATTATTATTTCTGGCTTGTTTTGATATTTTCTGGATAAGTCATAGTGCACCCTAGATCTGCTCTCCGTTTTCCTCTTCCTCTCGTCTTTTTTTCTTTCTCAGTACAGTTCTTATCTGTGTAATATTTATGTTCGAGAGCAATAATATTGCCGTGCTCTGAGTTCCCGGCTCTGTCAATCTAGCTATTCAGAATCTGTCCAATTTCTGTGAACTTCCAGTGTGCCAAATTCGAATGATTTGTTCATTTTCTAAGCGATCATTTTCCGGGTACCATCTCTATATTCTGTTGTTGACCTTCCGAGGCAACATAGGTGCAGTTTTCCTAAAAGTCCTTTTCTGTCTGGTCACTGTGTGCTCGGGTTCAATGCGTATGAACATTGTTATGGAACTTCAGTCACGCAGGCATGCACGCCAACTCGACCAACAGGCAGTACGAAAGTAACTAGTTGTTATTCAGGAAAGAACATTTCAGAGAGAGAGAGAGAGAAAACAAGTTGAGAGCAAAACGACAACATAAGAACTACTCATGAACTCATGGCAAAGAGTTCCCAAAAGGCAACTGAGTACAGCCAACTCAGATGCATATGGATTATCGGGCTAGAGCGATACTGAGTGCGGTGGTACGACTTCTACGCACAGCACGCAAGACTCGCAACAACGCACTATACCGGAACTAACGATAGCATGATAAGACTGAAAGCGTGCATACAGCAAGCAATGCAAAACAAAGGAAACGCGTCCATGCATCGTGTGCAGCAGACCACGATGATTGATGAAAGGGCAAACTGTCATACTAGGTGAAACACTACCCATGTAGGCTTACAGCATGATCAGTGAATAGTGAAGCAATAGACAGATAGATAGGTTCAGTTATATATACATTACACCTCTCCCCTTGATGACATTAGTCACGGAACCGCTGAGGAGGACGGATTGCAGCCCGTCGACGAAGTCCGTAGGCTTGGTCAAGCTGCGGATCCATGTCGATTTGGATGATAGCAGGGATGTCATCACGATCATCAGCAGAGTCAACATCTGCATCTGCGGCAACGGGGTGAGGGTCGAGCTTGATCAGGTCGACATTCACTACTTTCTCAGCATTGCGACCACGTACAGGTTCACACCGTCGAATCACCACAGTCGAGGGGGACAGAACACGAATGACTTGCCAACCAGGTTCATACATCGGTAGATGCTTCTGGTGACGGTCAGGACGTCGGAGAAGAACGTGATCACCAGTGTGATAGACAGGCACAGTCTCCTCTTGGATGCGATCAGTGTCGGATAACTCGGATTCCACGAGGTCGCGCAGTCGAGCACACCGAGCAGGGTGATCCCGAGACCAGTTGCTGCCGTCATTCTGCTGCGCTGCGCGGATGGTGGCAACAGCCATGGGCGGGGCCACGGCGGGATTAGTGGTATCACCAGCGACAGCACACATCTCAGACTTGGCACGGCAGAGCTTCAACCATGGAGTGGGTACTCTTGTCAGCCGATCAGCCAAGTTGCGTTCAGAGGGCACCCATTCGACCACGACAGACAGGCCGGTGAGGCGGACAAGCTCGTCGATAGCTTGCAAGCGGCGTTGGACGAGCACATCATACAGACCGCTGGTCTTGACACGGCGGATGTCATGCAGCAGGTTATACAGCCAACCATGCACGGTCTTGGAGTCGGTCAGGAGGCGCACACTCGTGAGGCCGTAGGCGGTGGCACGCTGAAGGCCACTCATCACCGAATCAAGTTCGGCGACATTGATGTGTGTACGATCATCCTTCGGACGCAGCCAGCACGCATCCTCGATGACATCTGCACCGCATTGCACCACAATTCCGGTGGCAATGTTGGATGCGTCGCACCATACTGACCATTGTGCGGCAGGTGGAGCGGACCAGGCACCGTGTACCGGATCTTCTCCTTCAACGCGACCAGACAGCTCTTGGCAGAGGCTTACTACTTCTGGTGGTACCTTGGCGTCCCAGCCTCCAGGAGTGAGCGAGTCAGCCAATCTCTTCAGGTAGCTAGTGTATGGCCTGAGCCAGGAGCACACAGGGTTGTGACCAAGCAGGCGACCACACCAGCGGAACACATCGCGCTTCGTTGGGCTCGCTGGGCAGCAGAGGTCGACATCTGTGCGTCGTCGCCACTGCAGGACGTCGTTCGAGCTGTGAAGCTGGAGACCAAGGACGCGGGCTGATCGCAAGCATTCAGCAGGTTTGGTGGGTAGGCCAAACTTCACCATCTCGTCTTCCACCGTGGTGACGAGATCATCAGGCACGAACAAGTCGTCAACATAGCTGTCTACAGTAGGGTAGGGGCCAGTGACGTACTGTACGATCAGGCTCATCAGCTTTGGCGCAATCCCAAGGCCGAAGCCCATGCGCATCATGACGTACGGCTTGCCCTTGTAAATGACGGTCTGGAACCTCGCCAGCGACGGATCAAGACGGACCTGCAGGTACGCCTTCCGTATATCCAGGATGTGGAAATTGTCACCAGCCTGTCGCCAGCTGCGTAGCTTCTCACCGCACACAGGGGTGTTGCACCCAGGGTGGTTGCGGATGAGCTGGTTCAGCCCACGGTAGTCCAGTACAGGGCGAACCGGTGTTGAGGCCTTGTGCTCTTGGCACTTCGCAATCAATGGGAGGATGGCGCCCGGTGGTCCGTGAACATCCGCATCGTGTGGTACCAGCCAGCCTTGCTGGATCCAGGCATCTACTTCAGCATTGAACTGCAGCTCCTGATCGGCGGTGAGTTTGGCGCGGGGATATTCGCCAATCCCTGACCCAATCGGTTCAGCAGGTGGCATGTTGTCCCTCCAGTGCCACTTCATGCTCCAGTAGCCGGCGGCTGCATTCCAGTGCACCTCGCCATCATCAACACTTAGTGTGACATCGTCACCAGAGTGGTTGACCGTAACGTGGCGGGACAGCTTGGAGGTGCGAGCAGTGCTGTCAGCAGGCTTAGGTGGCACATCAGTGGCAGCACTAGCAGCAGCAGACACAGCGGCACAGCCAAATGAGACGGACGACAGGCAGCCGTCAGCGTATTGCAGGTGCATACCTCCAGCGCGGGTCACTACATCGTTGCCGACGACCATGTCGGTGTTCAGGACACTCAAGTCTGGGACAACCAGCACAGATACGGCAGTCAGTAGGTCCAAGTGCACAGGTCCGTCGAGTCGACGGAGGTTCAGCAGGACGCTACCCAGTATCTTCAGCGATTCACCGTTGAGGGCGAGCATGTTGTCCGGACACTGTTCCATGTAACGCAAGCCATTGCACTTCTGGAGTGCGGCACGGCTGATGAGAGAGCGCGTGCAACCAGTGTCCACCACAGAACTCAGGCGAGTCCACTCGTCGTGTTTTTCTCGGCAGGCATCGACGTACACTCGGATAAGGGAGGACGATGATGTAGTCAGGGCCAAACAGCAATCGGTTTTTCCTCCTGGCTGGTCAGAGACACCAGCAGACGCAGTGCCCCGTGTTCTCCTGGTCGGGCAGTTTCTCCGGATGTGGCCTAGCTCGTGACAATGATGGCAACGAACTCGGCTGCTCTTCGAGGAAGATGGGCCTCCTGACGAGCTCTGCGTGGAGGGTTCCCGGTTCCCAGCACGGCAGGTCTTCTTGACATGCCCAGTTTTCCCGCACGTGTAACAATACAAAGACTTCGCTGGTTCGGTGGCAGCAGCGCCAATGGCATGCGATGATGCAGCGTTTTCAACCAGTTGCAAAGCGCGAACCTTCTCTGTCACGTCACTGACGGAGAGGGCCTGTCCAGCACCCTGCAAACGAATGTCTCGCGCGAACGTCGGTGGCAAGCCGCAAATCACCTGCTCCAAAAGGACGGGGTCCTTGTCGTCTGTAATCTTGTGGCCAGCTAAGCTCAAGTGGTGCTTCAGGTCAGCAACGTAGCCGTCCACAGCCTCATCAGGGCGTAGGCGACGGGACAGGAACTGCTGATAAGAATCAGCAGGTGCAGGCGCGAAGGCCTTTTCAAGTAGCGCTTTCACGGTTGCCTCCTTTTTCCTGTCCGCCTCCGCCATGGACATGAAGACTTTGAACGCCTGGCCATCTAGGACCAGGGGCAGGTGCTGCATCCGTTTTTCCTCCGTGTCCCACTTTTGGATATCCGCCAGGACACGGAACTTCGACCAAAACGTCTCCAGGTCATCTCCTTTTCCGCGGAACGTCCGCAGGAATCCATCGAGTTTCAGCGACATTATTTCCAAATCAAGGCCCACCACCAAACGACAACACAGTCGCACCAGGTATCAGCGGGTTTCGGTACCAGATGTTATGGAACTTCAGTCACGCAGGCATGCACGCCAACTCGACCAACAGGCAGTACGAAAGTAACTAGTTGTTATTCAGGAAAGAACATTTCAGAGAGAGAGAGAGAGAAAACAAGTTGAGAGCAAAACGACAACATAAGAACTACTCATGAACTCATGGCAAAGAGTTCCCAAAAGGCAACTGAGTACAGCCAACTCAGATGCATATGGATTATCGGGCTAGAGCGATACTGAGTGCGGTGGTACGACTTCTACGCACAGCACGCAAGACTCGCAACAACGCACTATACCGGAACTAACGATAGCATGATAAGACTGAAAGCGTGCATACAGCAAGCAATGCAAAACAAAGGAAACGCGTCCATGCATCGTGTGCAGCAGACCACGATGATTGATGAAAGGGCAAACTGTCATACTAGGTGAAACACTACCCATGTAGGCTTACAGCATGATCAGTGAATAGTGTAGACAGATAGATAGGTTCAGTTTATACATTACACCATGTTCGTGTGAGTCTACACGTGCTGCCGGTATCTTATGTATCTGCGTGTGTTGTTGCCTTCTTTTGCACTAATTGTTACTCGTTTGACTCTGTGGAGCCGCGGATGTCGGGAGAGTACAGTCCGGCGAGGCGTACCCTGTCTGGGTTTGTGTCACTCCCTCGTACATGATGATGCAGTCAGACATGACCTTTCTACAGTACAGTACATTGTATGTGCACGATGCGTGATTATAATAATAACAAGAGTACATAACCATTATTACTCTTGATAATAATTATATCAAGAGTCCATGAGGGTTTTATGGACTCTTGATTTATTTTTTTGTCTTTTGATACTTGCATCGCTTGGCTCTTGCCTGGAATTGGGAGTTGACCCTGCTGCGCTGGACACCATGCATCATGACATGCACACATACAGTCGGTCATTGCGCTGACTGTACTGTGTCACTGTGTGTGCACATGATTGTGAAGATAAAGAACGCAGCCAGAAATATTATTTTTAATATACATACTGGAAAAAATAAGAATGCCCGCCCATACATGCACTTGCGCATTTCAATATTTGCCCGCGAAATCAGCAGATCAGGTCCGGCCGCGCCACGTGCGCGTGCGCGTGCAGAACGCAAAACAGTTTAAAAAAAAAGTCAGACTCGTGCATTGCACAACATGCTGCAGCCAGCTCCGGCTCTCCCTCCCGATCCCGGGAGCTCCCGATCCCGTTTGAAAAAAGAGACCGTTGTTTTGTACGATCATGTATACAGTGTGTGGTGTTTTTTGTCTGTTGTTCACGACGCTGCAAGTGCAACCCGACTCTCGTGTGGACATGAGAGAGAATGAAGGATAGGCCTAGACCTTCTGGGCACTTGTTTCCAGATTGTCTTCAAGCCTAAAGAGGAGCTTGTCACTAACAGATTTGTCCTACGCCAGCGGATTGCCTCGTACGTGGAGGCTACATATCGAATTAGCATTTGAATTATTTGCAAATCACTCAAATGCTTCCTGTGACCGTGGGAGACATTTGTAGGTTTCTTACTTTGGGATAAGGAGCAAAGCTGAGCCCGGGTCAACGACGAGTCAGCTCCAATGAATGTTTTCTTGAGAGTCATAGCTGGCTGGGCTACGGCGCGACATGTTTCGGACGTGTTCCAGACTTGTAAGACATAGCTTGTTTTTGAAAACACGCAACAGCTCACGGTCGGCAGTATCCCTGGCTCTACGACCGGTGGATATTAGGGAAGTCACGTGTGCGTCTGAGCTATGGAAGTTGGTCTTGGAGCGGCCTGATGTAACCGCAAGCAGCGTTGCGTCCTTGTTGGGCCATTTGAAGGATCTCTGCACTCATGTGGAGGGTACGGCGAACTTGAAAACCAGCAACTCATGTGCCGAAACCAGCAATAGTATTGATGGCGTATTGGAGGATGAGCGGAACATAGTACGGTTTGCTTATGGCTTCTATTTACCGCAGATGCTCGATCTTTTACCCCATCTTGACACTAGTCATAGCCGGCTCGCGCCCCCCAGCGATGAGCTCCTTGACACTAGTCATAGCAGTGTTACGTCCTCCGCTGATAAGTCGCCACACACCGGCTTTGTTCATGAACTCACCCGTGATCTGAAGTCGGGAGTGCAGCGTATGCCAGCCGATGGTTTAGGCAAGGAACTGCAAGGTCGGATTCGTGCTGAGCTGATTGCTTGCACAGAAAGCTACATAGTCCGGGAGTGCCATACTTGGCCGGTAGATGTTATCAGTAAAGCATTAATTGTTTTGTCACAGGTGGATGGCGACCACCGCTCCACATACCAAGCTCTGCTCAGCTGCCCACAGAATAGCATCGACTCATTAGCAGACCTTGTCCGCAAGGCCAAACAACCAACTTGGCAATGTCAGGTGCTCAAAGAAGAGTGCCACAATGCTTTGCGAAGCCTGGGCGACAAAGCGCTAGCTGTGGCCAATATGTCAGCTGCGCGTACTGCACTTGTTACACTGGACAATGACAAGGGAGCTGTAATGGAACTGCCAACGGAAATGTTACGTGAACTTCTTGTTATTAAAAGTCCATCTAAGTCTGACATTTTGACTATACTCTGTGTCCTGGAACTAGCTGCCAAGGCCAAGCTCGTGTCAACCAGTTCTGATAATGATTTATTCAACAGTTTGACGGAGTTTGTGGAACATGTTTCTGAGAATAACTCCTTGCCAGCATCTGATTGTGAAGAAGGCTTGCGCTACATCGCTGGCATTGGCCAGGCATGTGCAATCTCTTTCAATGTACTCATCCGTGATAACCTGGTCCGGCCACTGGCGTTTGCGCTCGTGAATTGCCTATTCCAGGATGCCCAGCAGCTACGAATGCATACCTTGTTCACAGTACTGCGGCTGGTCCATAGCTTGCGCTGGAACGACAGGACTATCATACCGCTGCTGCACGGGCAGATCTTGAAGATGCCGTCGTGTCAGCTGGACCCTACCCTGATGGTGAATACTTGCTACTTCTTAGCCAACTTGTGCAGCCTTCCCAAAGGCGTCATTTCCGCAGTGGTGCGAGATCACTGGCTCAACTTGCACTTTGACCAGCAAGCGAAGGTTGTCCTGACGTCGGCCGTTGTTGGCGAGTTTCTCACCGCCCCATGGATCTGTCTTGTAGACAAGATGAAGGAGGAAGGTGAGAGATGCTGGAATTTGAGTGTCTGCACATGGTAGGCTTGTGTTTGGTTGTTTTCTGGTAGCCACTGTGGTATACTGTACAGGAATGAATCAAATGGAAATAATGCCATACGGGCATAGTCCCTTCTGGACCCCTCAGGGTGGTTGGTCAGGGTGTGAATACTCAAAATGTGTGATGAATGATTTTTGATTCTCTGTTGCAGAGTTCAACGCTCAATTTCGGCAGTTTACGGCATGGTGCCTGGCAGTTCTTGATGCATACGTCGACCTTGAGTTCCACAAGCATCGTCAGCAAGCAGCGCTCTTGCCACAAAGTTGTGGAGAGGCTGCCAGAAACAAGTGCTCATCGTCTCTCGAATGGACTGCTCCCGGAAGCTGGAAATTTATGAAGGATTTGGAACGTGAGCTCAGTTCCTCGGTCATCTGGCGGAAGAACCCCTGCAGCGATTTCTTCTTCATCTCCGGTCTGGCGGCAATTGTGTTTGATGATGAAGGAGACTTTGTCTGCAATGATGTAGAGTTTGATCCGCTCACAATGTATCCTGTGTACTTTGTGCAAGGCCGTATGTGTCCCTCCGGCGAGTTAGATGGCATGCAGAAGCTTCTGTGCCGCATATGCTACCTCAAAGCAGCATACTGTGTTCATGTGAGTGACAATGGAGTACTTGTGCATGACTGTATGTTCTTTTCTGTGTGTGTGTGTGTGTGTGCCTGTGTGTATGTGTGTGTGGATGGGGCTGGGAAACCTTTTGTTGCGACATAACTGCACTATGGCCTTGCTCACTGTGATCCAACTTCAGAAGTACTGTAAAACCGGAAAGTCTAACGAGTTACGAGTCACAAAGTCTAACGTTTTAACCACCAATGTTTTTTTCGTTATTTGAAGAAACGTTATCGTGAACCCTTTTGAGATGTCTGTGTAAAGATGCGCATACAGATGGGTGGGTGGTCAGGCACGTTATCATGCCAAAATTACAAAAAAAACGTTAGCCTTTTTGGTCATCAATGGGCTCTGCTGGAGAGAGAGAGAGAGAGAGAGAGAGAGAGAGAGAGAGAGAGAGAGAGAGAGAGAGAGAGAGAGAGAGAGAGAGAGGGAGGGAGGGGGAGAGAGAGAGAGAGAGAACTTCGTCGATTTTGTTGAGCACGACTATACATGTGCATTCTTATTGTGTAAGCATACCTATATGCATGTCAATTACTGAAAGCACAGATCAAATTTATTCTTCCAGTTGACTGTTTGGTAGCTTTCTGTGGTGCGAAGTGAATCTACAAACAGCTATCGCTAAGCCATAGGCAATGATTTTGCAGCGCATACATGTACATGTAGTTGGATGGAATGGCTGGTGAAATGCTGGAGTCAGGGAAAATAACTACAGTCTGGGGCTAGTGTGTGAACAGTGGGGTGTTGGCTTTGTGTGCATATTGCCTACGTGAAAACTGATATTCATTTTAGGTTTGTTGTGTCTGCTCTGTTACATTATTGTAGGTGAAGAGTGGTAAGGTCGATGACGATATCATGGACTGTGTGACCAGCATCCAGGTCTTTATTATCTCACAGGAATCGGTAGGTGCTATTTTGTTCCTGATCGGAAGGCATGTTTTTGTTTCCCGTTTAGGACGGCTTTGCGTTGCCGTCGCTCCATTGTTGTCTTTTGGCTTTTTTCAGTCGTCCTGATATGCTCCATTGTCGTCCCTGACATGTTGTGCTGTGTTACAGTTCATACCAGGGAGTAGTATTTTACTACTCCCTGGTTCATACATATGAATGTGACAAATCACGTTTCTGTTGATGTGCAGAAAAATTAGTGAAACTTCAATATACTACATGTACTACTTCTGAAATAGTAACAGCTATAATATACACTTGATACGACGTGCGGTGGTGGGATATAAATTACTATTTTTGAGAACCCTGCATTGTGCAATACCCGTCATTGATCTTGGGTACATCGCATCTCAGTATCCCAGTATCTCAGGCATTGAAGTGCGTTTTTATGGCAGTTGGAGGCACTCTAATTTCAGAAATTTTAGGTGCTCAATATTTTCGGTATGAGGGCAACAGGCCAGGTTAGGTGAACAGAAAATTTCGGTACGGAGAAACAGCTCCCTATTGGATTATGACTGTGTGTTAGTGTTTGTTCGGTGTATTAAAAATTTTTGGTATGAAACAGACTCACCGAAAGTACCGAAAATAAAAGTACACCGAAAATTTGTGAAGTTGAAGTTGCACAGTCACGATAAGCTGTACTGACTGCAGTGTCTGTGTCGTGTTGTGACTGCAGATCGAGCCACCACGCTGTGAGATTGGGCAGTTGGTGGTTGGACCCAACCGTGCTTCCAGCCAGGAGGCGATAGCTGCATAGAGCCAGGTGTACTGCCTTTCTTGGTTTTGGAGATGCTGCCGATTTCCTGGTGCGACCTTTTCGG